TACAGGTAGTCTGCTCCTATAGACATCAAGACCAGATTGACTCTTAACGAGGGATAAAATGGATTTCTTATGGCATAGAAAATACTTGCTTCAGAATATTTTGATAAGCAATTTAAGACCCTCAGCAAGTGGCTGGATAGTCTATCTAGCCCTTACCTATGACATAGTTATAGCAGTTTCAATCTTTGATGTCGGGTAAGCTTTTCTAGCTTTCTATACTGGGAAATACATGATCTAAAGACATGGACATCAATAGTATTTCATGATGTTATGTAACTACTTTGACTTTGTGTTCCACATTCCACTTCTGTCCAGTTTCAGGTGACTTTATTTTTAAGAGATGTACATGTCACTAACTAAACATGCAAGAAAATTCATTAGCTTGTACATTTTGAGCCTAATCCACTATCAAAACTTTTTATCTAAGAGCTTGAACTGAAATCTTCCTGAATTTCTGTAATAGTTATGTGGCTACTTTTCAAACTTGATTTTAAAAAATAACAATACAGATGGACATACTCAAAGTCACCAGGAAGGGGACTTTTTCTGAAAAATGCAAAAATTTGGAAAAAAAACAGAAAATGTGCCCATTTCTGGGAATATGGATGGAATTCCTTATAAGTCCCATTTAAAGCTGCCTTCAAGGATTGCATTAAACTTAATTATGAAAGATTACAAATGAGATGATATATAATTGGTACCAGCTGCAGTTGTATTGGAAAGCATAAATACAAATGGAATCACTTATTTATTTTTATTTATTTACTATTCAAATGGTGGTTCTGAAACTAGTTGGGATAGAAGAGACTTTGTACTTTTTTTATTATTATTAAGTTTAAAATACTTCTTTACTTTAATAACCATGGTGGAGACAAATATCCCACGGAAAGACGACACTCATTCCCAAAGAAGGAAGTAACTCCAAGCAATTTCCTTTCCTCTATCTAATTAGTAGCTTGTTGTTTTAATATCAGAATTAGCGACTTGGGACCAAATTCTTCTCAAGCAACTCCATGATTTAAAAAGAAATAAGAAAATCTGTATCTATATTCCATAGCTGTATATCTACCTAGATAACTTCTTGTTGAGATTCTTCCATAAACACACACACAGACACACACACACACACACGCAGAGCTAAAAGAACAACGTGAAGAACAAGAGACTGCACCTGGGGAGGACGGCTGGGCGGTGTGCTTATCAGGGGGGCTGGACCCATGGCTGAGGCAGCATTCAAACTCCTTTCCCTCTCATCTTGGTATATCCGGTCTCTTTCCGCTTCCGGTAACTGCAGGAAATTCTGCATAGCCCGAAGGTTTACCAGCAAAGACTGGGATGCAGTCTTGGGGTCCTCTTCCTTGCGGAGGATTTCTGAAAGCAAGCCCTGCGGGGGGGGGGAGAGGACAGGGTGAGCGGGCCCTGGTGCTCGGCCCAGGCCACGGTAACCCTCCCTCCATTTCCCCTCTGTTTAGAACACCGACGGTCAGAGGCATTAATTCTGCACAGGAATATATTAGTTACAACTGAAGTGGTGGAAAAGAGGGCCTCGATTGTATTCTTCATTTTATTAAGCATCTGCTTTACATATAACATAAACTGAAACTGCCTAATTGGCCTCCTTCCTTTGAGTAGCTTAACTTGCCATGAAATCTTCCACAGAGAGACGATGGAAGGAAGTTAGGAATGAATGAAATCCTCATCATTCTACAGCAGTGAACTGCATAGTTCTCGAGCTGCAGAGACAAAGATAGTGCAATGCCAACAGCCCAACGCAGAAAGATACAAAGCCATTTCTAGAGAAGCAAACACGACTATCAAGAAAAAATGGAAAAGAAGCTAACATATTAGAAAAAAAGAATAGTATTACACCATCACCAAAGAATCGCTATATTTTCATGGGCAGTATTTGAACCTGTTTCCTCATCTCCGAATTATCAAAATAAATGATACCAGGTGACCCTTTTCATTTACCACTAAAAGGGAACCACACTGACTAGCCCATATGAATCTGAATACTGTCTTGATACCCTGTATTGATGGGTAACAGGTCGACATTTAAACTTCAGAAACATCGATAAAATTGAACTAGATAACCACTTTGCCACATTGCATCCTAGTCTATCACTGCATGCCAAGGAAAAGATGATCAAATTCTGTAATTATCAACTGTCTTGGGGAATAAAAATTGTTATCGGTGATAGAAGAAATGTATAAGCCATTAGACAAATCTTTTCCGGGATCTGTCTCCCTCAAATAATAAAGAATTAATTTGCAACTATGTATTTTTAAACTTTCACAAGAACTCTTTTACAAAAATGGGTGGTTTTCTCCAACGTGTTTGAGATAATATGAAGCAGAAGTATTAGAAAACTGTTCTGTCCATTTTACAAGGGCTGGACAGCTCTTGATGCATCCTCTATTCTTGAAATGATTTATGAGCTGGTCTTTAAAAAGACCCTCTAATGGGCTCAGGGGGTTTAGAGTCGATTTTAAAGAAGTCTGTCTCGCTTGGTCTACTGCAGCCAAAGCCTGTAAATTGGACCTGAACATTCAGTTTCACCTAAGAAATGCCTGAAGAATGCAGAGCACAAGTCTTTCATTCATCCTAACAAGTACTGCGGCAACTGTGTCTACACAAGAGCAAAACATCTAGTCAAGGGGCTGGCAGGTGGCGTGGTGGTTAGAGGCACTGGATTCCCACATGGCTGAACACAGTTCGAGTCCCAGACCTGATAGCTTGCTTTCTCACTTTCCCTTTCTTTCTCTCTCTCTCTCTCTGTCTGGTCAAGTTAAAAAAAAAAAAACAACAACAAATGGAATTAAATAAGTAATTAGGAAAGAAAAAATCTAGTCAATGTAACTACAAAGAGGTAGTCAATCAGCCAGCTATTTCATTGGCACAAGGCCAACTAAATAGATTGTGTGTGATTGTCATATTAAAACCAAAACATACAGGTCTCAACAAAAAAGTTGTTTTTAAAGATTTTATTTAATATTTATTTTAATTTGATCAGAGAGGGACAGAGTAAGAGAGAGTGAGAGAGAGACAGAAAGTGAGAAAGCAAGCCACCAGGTCCAGTGGGTGTCCAGCACCCCTAACCATCACGCCACCTGCCGGCCCACAAAGAAAAAGTTTGAAATAGGTGTAATCAAATAGCTCCTGCTCTCCACCTCTCCCCGAAAACACTATATATTTAAGAATGTGCCTGGCAAGGCAATTACATAAACTGCACAGAAATAGACAAACGTCAGTGTTTTTATAAATACATTATAAATCCCTTGAGAATAATCTAATATTCATTTTTGCCATCCCAGCACAATAGCTACTACGTAGGTGTTTGATAAGTACCTACTACACTGATCATGTGTATACAGAACACAAAAGGAAAAAAATTGCCAACAGGTGATAAAAACTTAAGAACACATACGCTAAATTCTAACAGTATCAGGTTCTCAAAAGCCATGATGTATTTTTCTGTTTTTCTATGAAAACAAAACAAAACAACAGTGCATCATGACTTTCCAGACAACCCAACAGTTACTGGCACTCACAGTGGGCCTTCAACAAAAGTTACGTGGGATTCTGCAAGATGGTTACCAACAATAATTGTTCAATAATTTTTGAAAAAAAAAAAAAAAGAGAGAGAAAGACAAAAGCAAGAAATACCCTGCAAATACTTAGGATGTTATTAAATGCGGTTTGACTTTAAATTTGACATTCAAAAATCTGAAATAACAAATCACGTATTTCGATAAAATATGGTTCCCGAGTCAACACAGAACTATATCGAGAAAATCAAAATTATGGGCATAAAAAACATAAAAATATTCTCTCTCAAGTCTCGCTAACATGAGGCTAAACCATCCCTGTATGGCTTAGAGTAGAAGATAACATACCACTTGGGAGAGAATTTAGAAAATTCTTTACCAATATTTTGATGTTGGCATAACTTGCCATTGGAACATACAAGTATTTTAGGAGCAAAGCGTTTTATTGCCACTTTAATTATTCTACTAGAACAGATGCAGTTTTTCTCCCTGGAATATGGTGGTGGTCTAAAGCGATGTTTCAAACCCTGGGACACTCAAAGAACTCGAAAGCAGCCAGAGCAGACAGTCTCAGGTGTTTTAGAAACCTTAGGGTTTTTTCTGTTTCTTTCTTTCTTTTCTTTTTTTTTTTTTTCTTTTTTTTTTTTTTTTTGCCCCAGAGCTTTCAATGAGGGGAGTGCCCCCTGGTGGAAATGCTTGAAAATATTAAATATTGTTAGAAAATGTTTTGATTAGTGTTAATTACAAAAAAAAAAAGTCACTACAGAATAATTCTGGATGCAAAAAGGACTGCTTTCAGAACCCAGATGGGTAAGTGCATGTCTCGGTCCCTGGTTACCTGAATAGCTGCACTTGAGGATTCAAGATGTATATGGCTCATGTTTACTAGTTCCTCTAGTTGAAAATACAGTACAGACTTGCCAAATTGGGTCAAGGTCATTTGTAAGGAGCCCTCCATGGTGGATAGTAAGAAGTACCTCTTACCAAAAATTCTCTTCATGCTAAAAAACAGCACGCCAAACACAACAGGCACTACTGACACCACAGAGCATGTGGCAACACCAGGACCAAAACATATTATCAGTGCTGTACACCACAGGCACTCAAAAAACAAAACAAAACAAAACAAAAATTTTGAAGAACTATATTAAATAAAATTAGTCACACTTGCTTCTGAAAAAAACTTGAGAACTTGTATGTTATGGAGGAAGTTACAACACCTCATGAATATTAATTTCATTGGAAATGAGAGGCTGCTTTTCATTGGGACTTCCCATCTTACAAATAACTGGATGCGTGAAAACATAAAATTATTCTGTACTGTTACATAGTGGCTTAAGCGCGAATTCTATTTTTCTTCAATTAAAGAATGAATGTACGGAGGCATTCCTAAACCCTTTTGTTTTTTATATTCCAAAAAGTTTACAAATGATCACAAGTAAAATTCATGAGTGATCGTAAAAAGAAAACCTTCAGTTAATATTATCAGCTCTTCCAAAGCTAATTCTGAATTCTTTAAAACAACAGATAAGCGAGAGAGCCTGCCAATGAACAAAGAGCCTGTCTGGCCTCCTGTTTGTCTCCTCTTTGAACATAATCACTGATTCAAATAGATTTTATCAGCTTCATAGAACTTCAAAGCCCTCAGAAACAAAATACGATGCAATGAAACCTTCCTAAAAAGAAAAGTATGTAGAGTGTCCTCCAAGGCTACCTGCCTTTGCTGTTTGGCGAATTTTTTAATCAAATGTCCAGGTACAGGACGATTTTCAAACCCCACCTACCACCTTGGACTCAGGCCAAGTAAGTTAAAAGTAGACACATTTATCTCTGTCGTTTGTTAGGCCAGTGGAGGGCCGTCGTGTTGGGGTAATAGCACCTTTTTACCTTTTATTCAATAGTGATATGGATAGTGGGCTTTTCTTGAATTACACTGTGAAGAATTAGGAGCACAGTAGCAATTTCTGTTATACTTAAGCAGGCACATTTCTCTCCACCACATAATTTACAGAACTCAAATTCAATAAAACATTGCATGATGGTCCATTACTGTTATCAGTTTTGAATAATCCATCTTCATTCTTTATTTTACTGGAAAATAAAGTATGCCAAAGATAAGAGGAGAGAAAAAGGGGGGAAAAAAGCCACAGAGTGGGATCAGAGTTAAATTCTAGGCTTTATTGTTCTAAAAAGCCAAGGGCTTCAAAGAATATTATTTTTGTGTATCATAACAGATAGTAACAAGACAAGGAGGTTCAATTGAAAAGTATAGATCTCAAAGCTTTGAACAACTCCTTTCAGTCACAGGTTTCCATGAACGGGACATCAAATAGGCATTATTGAATGAATGACAGGCTAAACATGGGTACATTCAATAGCAATTAAAGAAAATATGCCCATCAACGCAGAAGGGGGGAATGCCTTAAAATAAGGAAGTACGTAACTTTCGCTATCAATTTCCAGAAAGGGTAAACATTTAAAAAAAATAATAATCTGCTATGAATGTCTTAAGAGGTTTATGTTTTCATTGAGGACACCCTATTCAGATGATGAGAAAATTCTTAGTTAACAGGTAAAAGGTGAAACCCAGGATTTTAAAGTTCTCTAGAGCCATCAATGACTGAAGGAACCTTCAATTCATGGCAGCGTCACCTAGTCATGTTTTCACGTACCGTTTATAGGGTCCAATGTCTTTATCTGATCATAAGATATCATTTTGAATTTGTACGTACACATCTTACATTCATCCTTCTTCAACGCAGAGACGGAGCGGCACTGTAGCAAGTGCACACAGACGTATGATGTGTGACTTAACTATGCAGAGCTCCGGGTCCATACATATGCATCAGCATGTGTATTTTCGTACTCCACACTCACACCACACTCTCACTCTGCACCTGCTTTTATGAAGTGCGTACACGTTGAAATAAACACACTACATGCATTCATAGGAATGTATCGTCATTAAAATAAATGCAGCCGTGTGCATGCGTGTGTGGATTTTAAGTATGACCACGGAAAAGTCACACATGCTTGAGTGTGCACAAGCTGTATTGCAGATTGCACACTTAAACATACACATAACGTGACTTCTGTTTAAATAGATCCGAGCACTGCGTGTTTCAGAAGGAGGTACTTATTCCAGTACCAAGTTCTACAGATATCTGGAATTCCTCAGTGTAAGAAGCTAGCAGAGAACAAATACTCAGCTCTTCATGAGCATGGCTGTAGCTGCATAACTGGAGAGAAGGAAAATTGTGAGGAGGAGTGGCTTACCCTTGTCATCTCCCTCAGATAGTAATAAGACAAGGAGGTTCAGTTGAAAAGTATAGATCTAGAAGCTTTGGACAGTTCCTTTCAGTCACAGGTTTCCATGAACGGGACATCAAATAGGCATCATTGAATGAATGACATGAATACCAATACCTTCTTGGTATTCTTTTTTTTTTATCATGTAAGATCTATCAACATTGTCTTCAATTCAACATGCACTACTGAACTTTCATGTAAAGACTTATTTTTGTCCAATACTAGAAATTACTGATATGTATTGTAGTTACAAAATTAAAGAATGTTACTAAAAATAGGAATATTTAGAGGGCTGACTTGTCATTCATTCATTCATTCATTTTCCTTTTTTTTTTAATAGAGAGTGTTTTTGTTTTTGTTTTTTTTGCCATAGGGCATGTTTGCTCCCAGAGACACAGAGAAAAATAAAAGAGAGATGAAGTGAGAAATCACCCTGGGGTGGGGGTGGGGGTTACCGATGCCACAACCCCTTTCTCCTCCATTTTCCTCTTGGGATTTTGTGCACGTACATGATTCAAGCCTCTGGGTCCAAGACTCAAACCGTGGTTGGCCATGTGGGAGTCCACCACATGGCCGCAACCGCTATGCCACCTGCTGGCCCCATATTTTCCTTTTTTTTTTTTTTTAATAATTACCTTTCCAAATGAATATAGGTGTCATATTAAAATTATGGCTAATAATGAACACTTTTAAAGCTGTAAGAATGTGGAACTAGATAAAACTGTACGATTTTCATCTGAGACATAATCTTGTAACAATCCCCTTTTAAAAACAGACAAATGACATAACAAAAAAAAACCGATGAAGACACTGAAAATAAACACTGAATTAAAGGCTTTGTCAGTTTGTACTAACTCCCTATCTAGTTAAAGGCAAGCCAAAAGTCAGTCCCAGCTGGGATTCTCCTAGGTATTCAAACTCTGCCAATGAGGAATTAATCCTAGATTATTTTTGCACCAAAATTTTATTCTTTTAATCACATAATAAACACAGTAACTTCAATATAATAGGAAAGAATGAAACAGGCCCCCAAACCAGAATAAAAGAGAGAACGAAGGTAAAATAAAGTTGAAAAGACATAATGTCCTCATTCTAATGAAAGTATGGGATTCTTTTGGTTTTTTAGTGTGTCTGGCTGCAAAATAAACATTGCATATATACCAAACTAGTTTCCAATCAAAGAAAAAACAATCCTCTCGTTCACAGCTTAATAGAATGAATGTGTTTAGTGCTTCCCAAATCTCTCTATTTTATGACTTCTCATATCATACCTCACCTTTTCTCCATATTTCTCGAGACACCTTCACTGCTAAATACAGTATCTTCATAGGAATTTGCCCAGGAGGAGAAAGATACACACATTAGGGGTGTGTGCACATCTCAGTGAGAAATCTAAAAGTGGTTCTGCAAACTAAAACACGCCTGCAGGCCACATCTACCGGTGGTCTGTTTTGCACAGAGTTTTATGGAAACAAACACACGCACACCCATTTACTGTCTAGGGCTGCTTCATCACCCTACGTGTGACCGAGAGCTTATGACCCTCAAAGCCTGAAATGTTTGCAGCTGGCCTATTTCATACAAACCATCTGCTGACTCCTGTTCTAGAAAATGCAGGTTGCAAAAACCTTAATAACATCAGGGACAGGACCAAGCTAAAAACGTTTCATGTTATTGAGTCACATGGTTTTTCCACGATGGCTACTCAGACTTAAGTGTTAAGAATTGTTATCAAGCTCCAAGGTTTCTTCTTCTTCTTTTTTTTTTTAAAAATTTGTGGAAGAGCTTCAACTAGGTGCATTTAAGCACCTCAGTGCGGTAAGGGCAGTGATACATAAAAGGCACGAGACTCGGAGCCTAGGGACTTACCAATGTCCTCGATCGAGTCACAAAACTTTTAACTCTCTACTCCTAACCAGCCTCTGCTTCAATTCTATTATAGCATAGGTAAGCCCGGTTTGAAATATATTTTTGATCTTTAGTTTATTCTTCCAAGGCCCCTAAGCTGAGATCATAGCTCTCCCTTAAGAGGAGAGGGA